AAGGTCTTTCACCAAAAGAAAGAAATAAAAGAAAATCAAGAGAAAAATAAGAATGACTCATAGCAAAGAAAAGCAAAAACAAAGTCAGGTGGCTTCATGTTGTTATGTTTTTTTTTAAAGACCACAGTTATAGCTTTCCTGAGATATTTGTTTGTATTCTTGGGATGGGCTAACAGACATCCATTTGCATTTGTTAAGTATTTGTTAAGGGAACTGTGTGTTTAAATTTATGTTCCCCAGTTTATCTTTATTAGATTTTTTTTTAAGTTGGAGAACAACTTAAGTGCTTTTTGATGTAATCATTAGTAACCCCATAAAACCTTTTATAGCATGGCCCATATCTACACAAGGCAAGTATTTCCTAATTGCACCATATTGTTTGAATGTCAAGTCTTTTTCTCACCATATACTGAATAAGATAAAATATTAAAGGTAGAATGAATTTACTGACTTATGAGAAATCACTAAGAAGTTGTTAGGGTTTTTTGTTTTTTTTTTTTTGTCTGGGGAAAAATATCCTCTCTGCTACACCAGAAGCAAATGTTTTGGGAATGCTCACTTTAATAAATGTTGAAAAGACAAACATACATGCCTCTAAGTTTACACATACATCCTTCTCCAAAATGTTAGAGAACTTTTCTGTAGATGTTGCCATAGGAGAGAATGAGATTGAAAAGGAAAGTTTTTGCTGTTTCTGTTTTTACAGGAGGCAAAGTGCACACACAGTCATTGTTCAGTGTACAAAAAGCAAGATTTAGGAAGGTTAGATGATATGGTCATGATCACATAGGTAGTGTCAGAACTAGGAAATTATCTTTTTGAAGACTCCAACATGCTGCCTAAGTAATCAAGGATATGAGCTGTAGGGTAAGGAAATATCACTGGTGCAACTGGAACCCATTGTCTCTGAGGTCAAGAATGACTTGAGTCATTCCTGAACCAAGAGCTCCATACTTAAGGTGATTCCATAGCTACACAACATGGATCTAAATGTAAGTTGGCACTATAATTATTATCACTACCAGAAAAAATAAAAAGCTATTAATAAAGGAATTTCACTGCTAGAAATTTATTTGAAGAGAAGGTATAAGACAACCAGTTATTAGATTATTCAAATTTTTGAAATTAAATGTAAATACAATTTTAATTCAGCAAAGTAGACATATTCAAATACTTCTGGATACTCACTTCTCTTTGACCCAACAGTAAAATCTAGGAACTATGATCTTTTCAATTGACTTAAAAATAATGCATACCAAAGCCAGAAGAATCACCTTTAAAAACTTTTTCCCTACTTACTGTTCTTTATTTTTTACTCATTTTAAACTAGCAAGAGAAAGGTAGAATTGGCATCATGGATGGATGCTCCTGAAATTAAGAAAATCCAGGTTCAAGACCTACCTCTAACACATACTGGCTCATGTAACCTGGGCAATTCAACCTCCAAATGTCTCTGAAATAATACTATAATGGTATAAATTATAGAGAAAGTATTGATCTTTCCAAACTATAATTTCTTAAATTCCAAATCTAATGGCCTTTTCTTAATCCTCAGCTTTCTTGACCTTTCTGCTTCCTTTGACACAGTCCATCACCCTCTTGTCCTCAATACTCTCTTCTCTAGATTTTCGTGACACTGCTCTCTTCTGGTTCTCCTCCTGTCAGACCACCCCTCAGGCTCCTTTGTTGGATCTTCATCCATATCATGCCTTCTAGCCATAGGTTTCTTTCAAGGTCTGTCCAGGGCCCTCTTATCTTCTCCCTCTATCCTATTCACAGTTGGTTATTTCATCAGGTTCCATGGATTTTAATTGTCATTTCAATGCAGATGATTCTCAGATTTACCTGTCCAGTCCCAACCTTGCCTTGACCTCCAGTCTCACATCTCCAACTGCCTAGTAGACATCTCAAACCAGATGTCCCACAGAACTCCCCAAACCCTCCATTCTTTCTAACTTCTCTATTACTGTCAGGGGGACCATCATCCAAATGGTCACTCTGGCTCACAACCTAAGTGTAATCCTCAGTGCCTCACTATTTCACTCCCCATATTCAATCGGTTGTCAAGTCTTCTCATTTTAACCTTCTTAACATCTCTCATGTACTCCCCCTTCTTTCCTGTGACAGTGTAGGCCCTCATCACCTAATCAATGCCTGGACTATTGAAACAATCTACTGCCTGGTGTCCCTGACTCAAGTCTCTCTCCATTCTAGTCCATTCTCTGCTAAGTTATCAAACTGATCTTCCTTAAACACAGATCTGACCATGTCCACACATGTATATTTATTTCAAGAATCAAATACAAACAATCTTTTACTTGACTTCTAATAATCTGGCCCCTTCCTACCTTGCCAGTCTTCTTACACCTTACTCCCCTCCATTGACCCCTGACATTGACCTCTTTGTTGTTCCCTGCTGTCCCTCCATCTCCTCATTCTGAGCGGTTTCACTGGCTGTCCCCCCCACCCCATGCCTGGAACTCCTTCCCTCCTAATTTCTACCTCCTGGTTTCCCTGACTTCCTTCAGTTGAAGTCCCACCTTCCACAAGAAGCCTTTCTCAGTTGCCCTCAATGCCAGTGCCTTCCCACTGAGAATATCCCCAATTTATCCTGTCTGTATCTTGTTTGTATATAGTTGTTTGCATATTGTTTCCCCAGCCCCACCCTCATTAGACTTCGAGCTCCTTGAGAGCAAGGTTTGGTTTTTGGCTTTCTAACATCAGCACTTGGAAGTGCCTACCACATAGTAGGCACTTAACAAATGCTTAATGAGGGCTTGATTGAAAAGATATGAGAAGATACTCCCAAACTGCCCCTTTGTGGAAGTGGGAGGTTCACGGTTGCTACATATTGCACATGTTTTTGGACTTTTTCAATATATTAATCATTGCGCTGGTTTTTTTTTTTTACTCTTCAAAAGAAACTGTTATATGTGATGGCTCTCTGGGAGGGGGAAGGGGAAGGATACTTGGGATAACTATGACGATGTAATAAATAGTACATATCAATAAAAGTGTATTTTAAAAAAAATAAAAATAAATTCTTGCTGACTTATGACACAGCTCAGACTTTTGCATTTTTTCCACGGAAGGAAGCTGAACTATTATGATGGCATCAGGAGGCCTACTATTTTGACTTAAAGTTTCAGTGACAAGCTAGGGCCTGGTAAGGAACAGACCCCAAATCTGAAGCTTTTCAGGTTGTAACATCACTTCAAAGAATGGGATTCCAGAAATAATAAATGTATAATTCAGCCTTATCTGTGTTCTAAATAATCTTGGGTCCCAATATGGCCCTTTGCCTTGGTAAAAAAAACCACCTTTATTAGAGAATGAAAGGTCCAAACAATATAAAAGGCAGTGCTTGATATAGACAGAATAAAACTAAAAACCCACTCAACTTGCTTTGTGCAAGCAACTTCAAAAAGAAAATAAGATGACACAAGTTTACTTGACCATTTCAATTCAACTACCATACTTGAAGACTGGGATTCTTACTTTGGGAAATAAGTCATTTGTAGTTGATTTGTGGGCATTTTTACATCTTGTAAATAATTAATAGCTTGGTGATATGTGCAGAGAGACTTCAGTTCTCTCCCAACTTCAAAGAGCCATGATCTTTATTGAGTGGGCATTCCCTCTATCAACACAAATTGACCTACCACACACATTTGATTAAGTGGTCTTTATGAGTTACTTAGGTGAAGAAGATATTTTCCTGTGACCAACCCAGGAAAAAGCCTCTCTATGCTTGGTCTAGCCTTTCAATAACAGGCATAAATCAGAATCCATTTAGCTTTACAGGTCTTTCCAGATCTTACATTCCTCCAGCAAAGTCTTCAAGAACACATTATTACCTTCATATGACAAGGAGACAGTCAAGTAGGAGTTAGGTAGAATCATTTCTTCTTCTTCTTCTTCTTTTTTTTAAATTTCATTGGTATAAAACTCCCAGCAAGGATCTTTCTCTACCAATGCAAATCTGCATCTTCTCTATAATTTAGAGCCTTACAGAACTTTCTAGAACATTAAGAGATTAAGTAACTTGCCCAGGGTGACACACCTAGCATGTGTCAGAGGTGAGACTTGAACCCTGACCTTCCTGATTCCAAAGCTATCTTTCCATTCCCTCAGGCCACGCTGACTTACTACTGCTTTTTTATATCAGGTAAAATCACTAAACGGAGTAAGGGGAAAAGCTTCAAGTGATTGGTCTTGTGACTTTGGCATGCATTATCTTTAAATCAAGAGAAGCCTTCATATTTTAGTGACAAGGATCTTCTAAGATAGTAAATTATTCCCCTTAACCTTAAAAGTCCCAGTGATGAAGACTGTCAGCTTTATTTACATACATCTAGAGTACAACTCACTTACTCCTTATGTATGCATTATTAAAATTGAAATTCCAAAGTGCTTTTTTAGAAATGTGTGTAATTATCACCCCTGTAAATAGCCTCTCTGAGGATGCTGCCACTGTAATGCTCCTTCTTAGCAGGAACCCTACACTGAAGATGATTAAAGGGGGCTTTGAGAGAATTCTGCTCCCATTAGAGCAAGGGAAAACTCATGGAGAATATCTTTTCATGGCTTAATTAATACATTAACACATTTATAGCTCCCCAAATAAGATACTTTTTAGTGTTTCTACTAGGCAATTACCATTTGCAAAGACCAATGTGGACATATCAAAAAGGCATCAAAACCACCCCCCTCCCAAACAGATTTGTAAAAGGGTTATAGGTTTTCTGATATTAAATATTAGAAGTCACTTATTTTAAAGAGATATTTTTCTGGCTCTCACATGCAAGGAATTCTGAAATGTGTCATCTAGCCTAAAAATTACACCCTCAGAAGCTGCACTACTTTAAATAGGACGCATTTGGAGTAGACTCCTATGTAAAATGCATCTAAAGCCTGGATGTCAGTGCTCAAGAGGACAGATTCTCAGCTAGTACATCCCTTTAACCTTGAGTCAGTCCCTCCACAGAAGGTCAGCTTACCCACAATGATTCCAGGCCGTCGATCCATTTCCACAATCTGAGGATGTATACCTTTGTAAGCTGCATCACTGACAACCTGGGTATTCTTCCTCACCCTCTCCATCACTGGGTCATCCACAACTGGAGTAAAGCCTCTACCCTTTGTCTTCTCAAAGTCCTCATGATATTTTACCTGAAAAAAGGGAAGAAAAACAGATTGTGGAGGCTACAACTTAGCTGAACTGATATTCTACGGGCTACCAAGGCAAAAATATTATTCTACATACGCCTAGATATGGTCATCCTTCTCCAATTACCCTCCAGGGAAAAAAATACTAATCACTTTTCCCACTAGGTTTCCATGCTCGTCTTTCCAAATGCCTAAATCAATATTCTTCTTTGTTTCTCCCTTTAGCGTTAGCCACAAACCCTTTTGCTAACTTCATAATTAGAGTGATGATATTGATTTTAGGTCTCTTGATTACTGAGGTAATCATTACTATGACTCATGAGAACCACTTTAAAATTACATTTAAATTTATATATTCCTAACTTCAAAATGCATATATATATATATGCATTTATTTAAACCTACATATTTATAAGCTCCAAAAGTATATGTATGGAGCTACATGTAATATAACTACAGTAATATATGTGCATATCTGTAACAAATATATACACATATATTTAAGTCTGCATTTAACTTCAAAAATCATATCTATACATATATTTAAACCTGTATATTTATAATTTCAAAAAAGTATATATTAGTTATGAACATAGAAATTTAAATATATATGTATTTTAAGTTAAAAATATGCAGGCATATATATATATATATATATTTAAGTTACAAATATGCATACATACTACTGTAATTACTTTCTAAGCTCTCCCTAAAACAATACCTGTAAATTAAGTCCTTACTGCTCAACCATTTTTATTAATAATGCCATAGTTATTAAAAAAAAATAGTAGTGACCCCTAGAGCAACCAAATTATAAATCTGAATATGGTAATATTAATTAACATGGTTATAAAACACAAACAGCACTTTGAAATATGCTCTGCAACATGCAAACATGCCAAACACAAACTCAAAACCAAATTAGGGAAGTCCAGGCAATTGTCAGTCACACAAGGCATTCAAAGGACAGAAGGAATTGGAAATTGGAAAATAAAAAGGCATAAATCAATCAGTAGAGAAAATCTTTTTATTGAAACTCTAAGTGCTTCCATTACATGTAAGTGCAGTTAGAAAATTCACCATAAGGCAAATGGAACAATCCCAACTACTGTGCTTTAATCATTATCCAGCTTAGTGGTGAACTAACATCTCCAGGATATGATGCAATGTTGTTCTTTAGTATATATTGGTTGTGAGAAGAGGCAGGCAGCTGTACCCTACCATGGAAATATTGTTTTGAGTTTCTTTAACATGCCTCAGTCCAGGGGTATCTAAAATCAAACTTGGTCTACCTTTCATCTGTTTCTGATCCTGGGTGTACTTTACCTGTAAAGCAATAACAACCAGGACAAACTTAGAATAAAACACAATTGAAATAAAAATTAAAAACTCCATATTTTCTTCCCCCCCACACCTTCAAAGAGTAAATTATATACAACATACTTAAAATATTTATGAGGGAACCAGCTCAAGAAATTGTCAATCATCATTCACCCATTGCTGAAATGTCTTTTTCTTTTTCAGATTAACAATCTCAAGTGACTCAAAAAACCATTCTAAATGACTTTGTACACACACACACACACACACACACACACGCACATGCACACAATCACAATGATATAGAACTATGTCTCCTAAGGATACAGTTATGTGGGTGACCAATAGCCATCTGTAGCATCTTGGTTTAGAGAGACAAGGGAAAAGCCAATCCTAGAGGGTACCAGATTTGTTTTAACTGGTACCCCATAGAACACAGATGATGGATGCTCACAGTGTAGCCCCTTAGCTTCAATCCATTTCCCCTTTTCTCCTCATCTCCTGGAAATAAGAACCAATGGAAGGACAGCTCTTAACTATAGCTGCAAATCATTTTTACTTCCTCAAAATCATAGCTTAAAAGTAATTTATGTGGAAAACATTTTTAGATTCCCTTAACAGCAGCAGGAATCTACAGGCTTTAAAATCTTAAAATCAGCTTAAAAGCTGATTCTTCAGGCACAAAAATCTTCAGGATGTGCCAGGGACAGCTCATGTACTCTTGGCACTTAAAAATGGAATACCATCATTTATCAGACTGATTATTTGTAGAACTAGAAAGTTAATTATTACAAACCTGAAGGCATATATATAATTCAGTATTGAAGCATGACTTCTACTGAAAAAAAAAATATTGTCCAAACAAGACATCCCTATATGTGTACCATGTAACTACCAACTAACACAGTCCTGTTTTTAATACCTTCAAAAATGGCTTTTTACTTGGGAGTTCTGGTTTATGGGCCAATGACTAATTGATTATTCTACTTTGCACAGATAGCATAACAATATACATTCACATTAAGATGAAGAATTGAATTGTTTAGACACCTTAGTTAAAGTAACATCCCTGAAAATGTTAACATATCAAAAGTAATACCATTTTACAAGGCCAAACATAAAACTATGCCCTGCAGCACTGATGGAATATCAGTCACTTAGATACTAGCTAGGGGAAAGTTTCCCAGAGCACAATTTTTTTTTCCTGTAATACATGATCTGCATCTAGGACAAGGGTGAACTTGTGTTCAAATACATTGCTACACCAGTAAGAGAGAGGCACAGAGGGAGAGAGAGAGAGGGAGAGGAAGCAGGAAAGAGAGGGGAAGGGAAGGAGGGAGGGAGGGAGGGAGGGGGGAGGGACGGAGAGAAAGAGTGTTGGGAGGTAGGGGGGAATTCATTAATACATGGCACTCCCTATTAGGAAATGCATTAGCAACCGTTGTGTAGTTTATAACATTAGAGAGTTGTCCCAAGCATTGAGTGGTTAAATGATCATATAGCCAGAATGACATAGCCAACATGCATCAGAGCCAGAATTTAAACTGGGGCCCTCCTGGCTCGAGGGCCTGGCTCATTATGCACTACTGCTCAGTACCTCTTCGTATATGTAGACATGTTTCATTGCTATACAGAAACAGGGAGGTCTGCTAGACGTTTCTGCTTTCAGATGATGCTGATTATATCAAGTCTCAGAGAATTACACAGCATCCTAAATGATACCCATGCTCTTTCAAAAGAGAATGCTCAAAACACAAGATTAAGTCCCAATATATGTGTGTGTATATCTCTGTCTTTTTCACTCCCATACATAAACT